TAGGTTTACACAGTCCAAACAGATTAAATAGGCCCGTTGAAGTGAATTATCAGTCCTGAAACTGAACAAAACTGGACAATGGGACACGAGTTTTTGTCAAGTTTCCCAACCTTCTTCACAATTTCTCCCTTTTCATAAACAAATACTTTTTCGAATATATTTTAGGTAAAAAGCCTTAATTTGATCTTATGAATTATTATTTTTGTTTTTAGTTTTGATTTCTAATTCGTTATTTTCTTCAATTGTTTCCTTCATACCTTTTTATACACAATATTTTCCTTCTTCCTAATTTCATTTGAAGTTGTTAGGATGGATTATCAAATTAAAGGAATGATTTGCTATAATAACAAGGCAGGGTATACCTTTTCTTTTGTCTCTAAAATTTTGTATACATTTTTATTTTATTTTTAGTTTTAAATTAATTTTTAGGTAGCAGTCATGGTCACATCTTTTTTTTCCTATTAATATGTTTTATAACTAGTGTGAAGTAATAATATCAACTGACTATGTAACAAATTATATTGCCATAATAATGTCATTTCAAATGTTATTTAATAATCTACAGAGATAATTATACATTTTTTATAAGTAACTTAAATTTTCAATCTCTCCTCAACTAGTTTGATTAGCTTAAATTGAAATGAGTTCAGGAATATTCCTTACTCGCTTATAATAATTTTTTTTCTATGTCTAATATATAACTACAATATTTTACACAATTTTTAAAGATTTTTTTTTTAGTTTAGGTATGTTACAAGTAAAATTATTTAGACATTGTTTGAGTTTGATGTGAAAACAATTTTAGTTACCTGGTCGAGTCAGTAATTTGCTGTGAAATCTTAAATGACTGATGGACCATATTCATGCTTTTTTTATTTTATTTTATAAAAAGTCTTTTACATTCATTAAAAAATAAAAGACTTAAAAATAACTCTAACAATGAATAACTTAGTTTAACTCATAATCATTATTTAATTTATATCATATTAATTAAATGGTCATTAATTAAATCATTTAATTAGTTATTCAAGCACAAACATTTTCCTTACATAATAGGTCAGTTTGTTAAAATAAGTAGATTTGCTTTTTATTTTTTTATGTTTGTCTAATCTTCTTATTTTAAAAATAAGTTTATGTTATGTTTTATTTAACAAACAATTCTTATCTACTTTTTTAAAATCCAATATGCAGAGAAGCTTTGGAGGACAAAATGGCACAAGAACAAGTAGGTTATGATGTGCATCAATTTAATTTAATTAATATGGAGAGAGAAATGTAATGATACATAAATGTACATTGAAATAATAAAACTGAAAGGGTATTTGCTCATTAAAATAACAAAATAAAAAACTAAAATATATTTTCTTGATTTTGATAAAAAAACATATATAAAGAAAAAAAAGATAAAATAGAAGAGAAATTTGTATTTGCTCATTTAAGAAAAAATATAGTAAAAAAAATAATACATCATTTATATTTATATGTAAATAAAATAAGATTAAATAATTATATAATTATAAAAGTATTTATATATTAGTTGAAAAATGAATAACTTTAAAATTTTATATTTGTTTTAATTTTTAATATTTTTTAATTATATATAAATAAAAATAAAATACGAATATATTTTTTTTACCAATTTTTGGATGTTTCACTTTGTGCAGTACTCTTCCAATGAAAAGATTTTAAAAGACTTAGTATAAAAAAATAAAATATAAAATACGGTATGATACAATTTTATATATTTATTATTTTTAGAAAATTAATATTAAAATTTTAGAAAGTTGATGAACATATAAATACCTGTATCATTTATTTTTTATATCATATAAAATTATAATATTTAGTTTATGCAATTTTTATTATTAAATTGATATTAAGAAACAGGATTGGAATATTTTAAATGTAAGAAAACTTGAAGAGAAAGATGACAATATATGTGACCTTGATTAAAGAAATCAATTATAATAAATGGAGTCCTAACAATATATAAACATGACATCATAAATATGCAGATGTTTAGCATTCTAAAAGAACAATAAATATGGATAGTCAATGCAGAGAAGATAAGGAATAGTATTAATTTAGGAAAAAAAATTAAATGAAATGGAACGAGTATATTTAATAATCAAAGGTGTGGATATTATAAAAATGGATTAAGAGTGCATATGTTAATCAATCAACCGAACATACAGAAAAAAAAAAAAAGTAAAAATTATAAGACAATTAGTATAATATTAGTCATTATTTTTCTATTGTGTGTGTGAATATAAGAAAAAATTTCTTTAAAAAAGATTTTTACTCGAAAACAACCACATCTTAAATGATGACGTTGACCCGGTAAGAAATTGAATTGTTATGGACAGCTGGTAGTAAATGCTAGTAATTTTTTGTCAGCACAGGAAGTGTTAATAGCTTAACATTGCTACCACACTAAGTACTAATCTCGCTCGTAGCCCTGGGACCAATTTAAATACCTAAAACTAACAAAATATAACAAATTAAAGTTCAAATCCTATCTTATACTGTAAAATGATGTTCATTATTAGTCTATGCTCCTACATTCACCAACTACACATTGTATATGAATTCACATTTGATTCACATCTTTTAGTTTTTCTTTTTCATTTTTTTTTGTAAAAATTCAAATGCCAACTTTTCCACCACACTCTCCACTTCTGATATGTTTATTCTTTTGGTTTTTCCAGAAAAAAAAAAAAGAATTTTTAGGGTGTGTGTGATTAAAAAAAATATATTTTTTCTTTGTTTAATTATGTAAAATACAGAAGGAAAGAAAACAAATGTTTGTAAATAAAAAAATTGAAATGGGAGATAAATGAAGTCGTTTTTATATCGGACTTTTCTTCTGTTTTATTTATTTTTTCATTTAAAATAGATAGAAAATAAGTGTACACCACACATTTCCAAAATCCTCCTTCCTTACCTCTATGCTCGTTCAAACTTATTTCCTATCCTCGTTGATTTGTCACTTATATATCTTATAACAAACAAAGTATTATTATTTTTGTAGTTTTTTTTTTTAAATAAATTAATCTACTCTACTATAAATTAAATAGGTACAAGTCGTTTGAATACACTAATTAATTCATACAAACAATTTTTGAGCTTTAAATTTTATGCTATTAATATTAGTTCATAACAATATATAAAAATGAACATGTAAAAATTCCTTTAGGAAAAATAAATTTGCTAATAAATAAATATTTTCTTTATAAAAAATGTTTCACTTTTATATAATATTGGTATAATTTATTATTACTTTTTTTTTAATATAAAAAATAATAAAATAATATTTTTAACATAAATCCAATATTATTAAAGTTGATTATTAGATCTCAGCTCAGGTAATCTTTTAGGATGTGAGACTGATAAATATGTTAGGAGTGAAAAAAGTTTTTGTTAGATGTTACCCAAATATCTATCATTTGCCAAGCCTGTATTTATGTGCTGGATTTTCAGTGATATTGTTTAGTGGTCGTGTTTTCTATACTTTTAAGTTAGCGAGAGTCGATGTGGGTGTTGTGGCTGTGGTGAGTTAGACACGAGGGTCCGTGTTTTTCTTCTTGTAGCACCCACCTTTGATGCCTTCAGAGGGAAACCGAGAACATTCTAGCGTATCACAGCAAAATTAACATAATTTGATTGAACACGACGGAAACACTTGCCTTAAAAGCAACAAACATGTTGTTTATCTTCATATCAATTATTTGACAAGATTGGACTCTCAGATAAATGCTTCTAAATATCTGCATCTGTGCTTTGCCCCCTCTGTTTAACAACTCAGAATAAGCAACGAAGAGAAAGAACCCACCTTTTTTGTTTATAAAATCTATCATCTTTCTTCTTCTGATAAGCAATTCTGCAAGCGATATTCTGTCAAGATGGTAAGAATTTATTTTGAGTTGTAGTTAATGAAATCTCATTGTTATTAATGATATGTTTTTTCTGAGCCAGATTTAAATGCTTGCCGACTTTTACCACTCAGCAGATTCTACCTCCATGGAGAGGTTTAAATACAAATTAAAACTGCCTGCAACCATATGTTATCAATGCCTAAGTAAATACAAAGCAAATCTGAATGCATGCTCTACAGTAATGAGACCTGCACTAAGGAAATAAATGAGAAACACTATTTCAACATCATGTTATTACAACACATTTCAACCATAGAGAGAAGTGAAGAGAATTGAATAATACAAATAATATCTTAAACAAAAATTAAATCTAACGGGTATAAACTATCGCGCCAACTGGCAAATTTGATCCTAATACGAAAACAGAGTAGAAACATTAATAGCAACCTTGGAAAATGTACACAAGTCAGTCACTTAAGTTTCTATTCTCATCTCCTTGAAAGTCACTAAACTCACTGTCACTCTTCCCTCAGACCACTCTTATTATTACCACAATGGTTCAAATCCCAAAGTCATTTTTATTTCACCACCATCATACCACTTAAAACTTGGGAACCATTTTGACCAAAACCCTCAAGCCAAACCCAACTTTAGGGAGGGACCAACCAAGTGCATTCAGGTCCTCTATTGTGATTTCTATTTTCTACTACAACACAACATGGTCCATCACAAATGGTAATTAACGCAGCAATTATTTCTTATGACCAGTCACTTTCTAGGGTAACTCAATCCATCTTTGTCCTGTGGTGAAATTCTACCCAACTTTGTATGTAAACAAGAAGAAGAAGAAGAGTTAATCCAACAAGGATATAATTTCATTATATTATACTGCATAATACCACTCTTTACCGATAGTAATAGTAGTACCCTTTTTACAAATTGTTGATGAAAATGTTGCAGTACAATTCAAAGTTAGCAACCTAATTAGCATAGTTCCTCAACAAAGATTGTGCCTCAGTTGGACTAGATATACATTGAACCTAGAACATAACACAGCACATAGCGCAGCTACTGCATAGTATATAACTTGTTAACGTTATAACAACCCACGATCACGTGCAGTGTCTAGAACTCACGTGGCTTACGGTTGATGTGTGAATTGGACCTGACAGAGAAGACGCCATTCCAGATCTCAGTGAAAGCCCTGACTATAACCCCATGATGATGCGGTGAATTCAGCTGAAGGAAGCAACTCAAAAGCTCTCTGAGATCTTGCTTCGAGTATATCTCGTTCTCCAATATCATTTGCAGCATGGAATGTCTGAAATCCAGATAAGGGTCCTCGGAGTCTTTCTCCACGGCCACCCCTTCTTTCCCAGCTCTTCCCAAACCCCCGACTGTTCTCGCAGCCTTCACGTAAGAATCTGAGTCAGAAAAGTGTGAGGAATCAACGTAGGGAGAGAATGTGGCGTTGGTATTGGTGTTGGTGGGGGTGGTGCTGGTGCTGTCACCCCATTGGGCCGAAGAGGAAGACGAGAAATTGTTGTAATGTTTTTTGTGGTTTTGGTAAGTGGGTTGGTTCGTGGGTTTAGGCTTTGGGTGGAATATGCGAGAAAGCTTTGGTCTTCTGCAGGTGCCGCAGCCTAGTTTCACGGACACGGTGTTCAGAAGAAGCTTCTTTCTGGAACCAGACATTGGTGTGGTTTGTGTGTTTCCGTGAGTACTTGCTAGCATGAAAAAGAAAGAAAGAAAGAAAGGGAACAAAACAAGAACCTCGGTTGTCTTAGTCAAAGAAGGTTTATGGCTTTCGAAAATGGCCTTTTATTTATGGGGGATGTCTTTGCATGTGACTTTGAGTTAAGAGGTCCCTACATCTCCCCTATGCTCTAACTTCTCATCATCAACTCATTTTATAAATAAATTATGCTCGATAGACTTATAAATAAATTAATTTCAACTTTTTAAATATTATTTTAATAATATCAATATTTTCGAATCTTGATATAATTAATCTCTTTATTACATGATAATAAAAATATTGAATGAATTAACTTCTATGAAGGATTCTAATAACTTTTATATTAATAATATGGGTATAAAAAAATATCGAAGCATTTAAATCATGAACATTTCAATTGAAAAGAACTAATTTGACTGAAATGTGATTTGGAGTGGAGATTTGTTTTGAGATTAAAATATGTTAGTGGGGTGATCACATGCATTCAGAATGAGAGCAATTTGAGGGTTTGAAAATTGGATATTGTGAGATGCAGATGGGTATGAAGTGAAGAGACAAAAACCCTACTTAACTATGCATAAAATAAGAGATTTGGGATATCCATCTTCAAGGACAACTAGCACCTATCAACAACATACACTTTATACTTTTTCTTTCTATCCATATGAATATGTTTTTTTTGAATATTTTGTAGATATTAGTTATTTATTTTTTATCTCTTCCAAAGTGTTATATAACACGAGAAGAAAAAAATTATACAATTTTAGTATATAATATTTTATAACATTTTGTTTAGCTCTCTTTAGTGCATACTTGTTGAATAACTTTCGCTATATCTACTTTTTTTTTCTTTTTTTTAATACAAAATCTATCATTAGTTTCTGTTTTTAACTTAAAAAGTGAATTCATCATTCAGGAAAATATCCATCAAAACCCAATGTTCCATAGACTTTGTGGGTGTGTTGAAATGATTAGAACGATAGTAGGAAGATAGTAGATGAATTACTAACATGTATTAGTCCAATGAACGAAATTCAGATTTCTTAAACATTTTGTTTAAATTTGAACTCAAGATCTATTTTAGCGTGTGATCATATTCTAAGAAAGAAAAATAAAATTGTAATCGTGTTACGTGTGAATCTAGATTAACTCGAAAATCATAAGTATCGATTTTCATTTATAATTTTTTTTTTGAAATTGTACTTTATCAATTAAGGTAATCTTTCTATTACTTATTCCTACTCATCAATAAAAACAAAACTTATAAACTCTGTAAAGAGAATAAAGGAATCGAAATACATATTATGACTGAAATTAATAGTATTATAACAAGAAATTCATACCTTTAAACTCATTATAATTTTCAAATAATTCAAAATCACATGTAGAACAAGTTGCTCTTCATGAAAAAGAATAGTTATGGAAAATAGCTGTATAAATAGTAGAGTAATAGTATTGTGACGGTGAACGCTAAAAGATCATTTGAGGAGATTTGTTTGTTATTTTGTTGTTATGGTGACGTTGGTGTTGTTTCATTGGTAGGAATTAAGAAGCAAGTATGTTCCGATTGAAATGTTAGAGTAGGCAGCCATATGTTGTTGTTGTAGGAAAAGTCGAAACAAAAGCCAATCCAACGTCCTGGGATTGGATGCATCATGTTTCAAACCGCAAAAGCTGGGGAGAAAGTAGAAAGCACCTACCATTTCTCAAAGGTTTAAGTTTTCGAATTTTTTTCATCAATTAACGAAAGTAACGTAAATTACACTTGTGGTAAGCAACAGACAACGAATTAAATACTAGTTACTTGTCAAAGCAAATTCGAATTTACCCTTTAAAAACCACGTCGGTTTTCACTAGGAGCAGTTACAAGCTTTGTTTAGATTAATGTTTTCTGATAGACAATAGTGGTTTTGGTGATCCTTATCACCGATTTTACCTTTGTCTTTCCCGACATTGTCTTAGTCATAATAATAATAATAATAATAATAATAATAATAATAATAATAATTCATACTTTTATAAGTTTTTTTAATCAAAATCTTAATCATAATCGAATTGGTTTCTAAAATCGTAATCAAAGTTTATAGTCATGTTTTAAAAAATACTCTTCTATGGATTCATACCATGCTTGTTAATAGTACCTTATGAAAATACATTGACTTAATCTATTAGCCTAACTTCAATTAAACAAAAGTTCATCACATTCCAATTCTAAGTATAGAACATATAACAAACAAAATATTCAATTAATTTAAAATTAAAATTTAATATAACTGAGAAAATAAACTCTATATTATTTTTTAAGCTTGGTTATTGATTTACGAGACATTTAAAATCTTAAATAATCATATATATTGGACCCTACAAAAAATGTTATTTCAATGAGACATAAATTTAACTCATATAAAAATTGATAACACTCTTAATCTAAAATTTTAAAACATTAGATTATAGGTGATATTTCTTTATATATTGATCAGCTTTCTCGTTCTTACACAATGTAAAACTTAAAATCACACTTAGATTACCAATTATATACCCACATTCAACCCCCTAAAATTTTACCGATTGCTATACTTATCCATGCGTAATTCCCCTCTTAATAATAGAAATCAAGTACACATTGAGTCTAAATTCAATTGTATGCCTAATGCTGTAGATCAATTAATTGTCACATTCAACTCCTTTTCCTCTGTTGATAAATTTTATCGTTGTTGATAAATCAAAATGTACCATTTGATTGAGCTATGTTCTCTTTTCTATTTAAAACGTCTCAAATGTTAAATAAACATTATATTATGAATTATGTTACGACACATTCAATCACATCTATCAAACAACAGAAAAGAAAAATTGGGGACCAACTTGTTATTCTTGGTTTATATTTAAGTTTATTTGTCTGGCTGAGCCATTGGGTTATATTATTTGTCAGGCTAGCCCAGACCAACAGAATGGAAGACCCACGCAAGGTTGAGCCAAATGTGATTGAGATGGGTGAAGCTAACATATCCGCTTCTTTGACTGACACAGAATTTCATATTTAACAATTAGTATAATAAAATTATCATTCTGTTTCTACGTCATTTATTATAATGAAATATTCATTTTATTATAAAGTGAACAAAATAGTAAGAACTATACTTTTGTTGATGTCATGTTACTCTTATTAGTGTTTTAGTTTATTTAATAAAATGATAGTTAAAAAAAAATTCAAAGCACTAAATACTAAAATGTAACTTTATAATATAATAAAAAAATCGATTAGAATGATTTGCATAAATCAATATTGTTAGTCAAATCAAATATATAATCAGAAGTGATTAATATTAGAAGGCAAACGCAATCGCAAGATGTAATGGGATCGTCAATGTTTGATTTATAAACAAGGAATGATATGTATACTCCAATGGTTCAACGATATTCTGGAGAAATGATAAAAATAGTTCAGCGATACTACAATGGATGACGGTGGTACCAAGTCATAAAACACAGTTGGTGATGTCAAAACTGTTAAATGCACGCGAAGTATTGATGAATAAAAGAAGCAACACTTTTTATGGCTATTATTGTGTCAAATTTATTTGTGGTTCAGTCCTTTCTGGGATTAACTTAGAAAACTCACATAACACAAGCGAATAGCAAAGGAGTCAGACCTCATTGCTTTGTACATGTTTGATTCTTGATACAGTTTGCCACATGCTGAGCCACCCATAATGAGCCAACCTCAGTACAACAGAAACCATGGGTGTGGTTTTCTCGTTCAATAGATACGGCAATACCGGGAACCTGCGTTGAAATCTGTATCCAGAAGAAACCATAAGCCAGAATAATTATTCGATGTTCCACAGATGTGGAAGAAAAGCACAAAGAGAAATTAGTTGGGAACAGTAAAAAGAAAAAGAAACGCCTTCATCATGGCTAGCTATTATTGCAATCAATGTGTTAAATTATAAAAATATTTACCCAACTCTTCTCCCGTAATTTAGTGTTAAAGTTGATGGTATAAAAATTTGTGGTCTTCCAAGTCCATTTAAGATAGACATTGGATGCAGGGTTTTACTCCTAGCCAAATCAGTCCACTTTCTGTGTGCAGTTGGATTTTAGTTTTTGCGGAGAAATCTAACATCAGCTAAAGATAATATATATAGTAAAATACACTCTTTATCTTACTTAGCCAATTTTGTAGGTTGAAGTTCAATATCTCGCCATTTTTAAGATGAGTTCCAATATTTTGACACCCATTTTAAACATCCGTTAGACAACTGATTAAAAAAATATTAAACTTTAGATAGCGGTTACTAAAAACCGTTGTTAAAAATACGTATAATATAGCGGTTAGGTGTGAACCGCTATCTAAAGTATGTTTTATTAGCGGTTCAGAAATAACCGCTATCTAATGTCATACTTTTAAAGAGTGGTTAGGAGTGAACCACTATCTAAAGTGCTATTTTTTTTAATCCCTCCCTCCAACTTTCTTCAACCTCGCGCTCTTTCTGTCTGCGTTTTTTTGCCGCTCTCTGCGCTCTCATTCTCGCTCTCTGCGCTTTCATTCTCGCTGTCTGCGTCTTCTATTAAGCTAAAGGTACGTTCTTTGTATTTTCAATCTTTCTGATTCTCTTGCTCACATTGAAACATATTACATTGTAATATATTTGTGTGTCGCCAAGTTCGCGTTCCATTGTGATCTGAAATTGTGTTTTTTGGGTAGATAAACGATTGAGCATTTACATGGACTATTTTCGTCTCTAAGTTCCGAACTTATATAACTTGCTATTATATTGTTGGCAATGGTAGGAATTATATCCTTCATCGTTTATCTAGCATGGGAGATATAAATGAAAACAGAGATGTAGCTGTCAATGAAGGCATTTTGGCTGTGTATGATGACATAGGTAGTGATGCGGATGTACAACAATGTGATGGTCCTCTCAAAGGTGTAGACCAAGAAATGATAGGT